ACCTTTTCATTAAGCACCAACAATAACACTGAGTTGACACTTAATGACTTAAGCCGTCAATATATTATACTGTGCATGGTACCTTATATTGTACATGTATAAACAATGAAATACATTAAAATGTCATGAATTGAGTTCAGTAATCTTTGGTAATGGTGGTGACGTTAATGCAGTGGCGAATGACAAAAACTACCCTACAATCTGCCATCATGCAATTTAGCTTAAAACACATCATATCACTTATGATAACCTTGATCCAATTTATTACAAAAGGCAGAAAGCAACTAATATGGCGATAGTAAATCTTTGATAGAAGTAGCAGTTCCCTCGCGAAGCTAAGTTGATCAAGTTCTGAACTGTGTTGGGCCCAATAACCGAAGCTTCATTCCCCAATATCTTCCTTCAAAAAGGCGTATCAGAAATATCTTATCATCACTTTCTGATATTTAAGGTAGGGGAAACTAGCCTTCAGTGAATTCATTCTGATTGGATTGGCCTGAAAGCTGTTCACTCAGACATACAAAAATGAGCTGATTTTAATTTTCTACGGGAGAAAGGAGGGCAAATTGAAAATTCAGTGGGAAAGCAGAATTTAAATTGTTAGAGCAGAGAAGCACTTACCTCTTCACGCAACTTTATCAACTGCATCATGAGAGCAAAAGAGAGAAGAGAGAAAGATGGAGAGAGTGAAGAAGAGATAAAAAAAACGCAGCAAGCAGAAGATCAGTCATGTGGCTTGGTACAGAATTAACCATGACGATTTATCTGTTTGCATGTTTAGCATTTGGAAATCACAAGACAAAAACATTAAAAGAAGCTAAATACGCCGCTCGGGCTGACTTTTTTGAACAAACAAAGATCAAGTCCTGGTGCTGTCACATTAAACAAAGAGGGAATGGATCGCTCGACTTGCAATATCAACTAACATTATCAAGGAAGTCACATCACAAACGTTGATACAGCACAAGAAAAGAATAAATGAGTAAAATAAAGTCTGCAAATATATTTTGTATCTGTCATTTTGCTGAATTCTCTGGAAAAGGATTAAAAGAAATATGTGCCCTTTGGAACCGAATGGAGAAATGCTGAGCCACTCCATTTGTAACACAGTTTATCAATGCTGATATGCTGTCAATATTTCATGTAACTTATGCATATCAGTAAAGGTGCATGCTGTTTATATTATGTACAGAAGTCTACGTGAAGCTACCACTGTATATACATACAGTGCAGCTTATTATTGGGACAGCCACAGATCATGAAAAATGAATCTTAGCATAGCTATACATTTTTGATTAAAGAGCATAGCAAATTTAAGAAAAAAGAAGTAAATAAGAAATGTTATTCCTATTCCCTGTCCTGGAAAACCTTGCATCTGTAATAATGAATCAGACATTTGAGGGAGGGCAACAATCCCATTTGCCATTAATTATGCCTAATCACAATTAAATAGGTTGCTTCCCTTGCCTGTTCTTAAGTGAGGGCTGTAGAGAAAGAAAAAGAAGGCTGCTGCTTATCGTGGGAATGCAACCCGGTTGGATAAAAAGGGGAAGGATTTCTTGATTTGCAAGCCTTTTAGAGGTGATTTCTTTTAATCCACATTTCTTGGCCAACATTAAAGGTTAGCACATCTAAAGGGAGGCTCAGGGCCACTATTACTTGTGCTGTTTATTTTGAATTTTGTGACTCTGCAATAATTTTGTATCATATATGGAAAGAGTTCTTAGATTTTGAATTCCAAACTTGATTGCTTACTTTAAGGTTCAAAAAAACAGCTGGGAGAGGGTCAGAAAATTGCATCTTCATATTCAAATAATTCAGAACAAGTGACAAAAAGGTGAACATGAGCTCCTATCAGCTCTTCTGGACAGAATAAAATGTGAGAAATAACATTTAACAGTTGTACCTATTTTATAATGAAATCCTAAACAACAAAAAACAATATTGTACCGCATACTTTGTCTCCTCTATTTATATTACACCACTATTAAAGGCACTCAAAGAAATTTGTCATAAAATATTACATTCAGGAGGACTCAATACTATATAAAACACAAACAAAAATATCAAGTACATTTGTAACAGCATTTCCTCTGTAATTTTAGAAGCATCTCAAAAATAGTTCCTGCATTAGTGTTTTTTTTTTCTTCCCCAAAAATATAGCTACAACAGTTCACTGCTATATTGTCAATATCTGTAATGTGGGAGGTAAACAGATATAATTGCATGTTTTTCGAAAGAGATCTTCTCCTTGAAAATGTCGGCAGTGACAAGACGCAATACTTAAGCAGCAACTCCCCACGAAGAATGCATTATTGAAGAGGCCAAAGTTTAAAACTACACTGTGGATGTGGTTATTTGTGGCTAAAAAAAACCCAGCAGATCCTGCGATCCCTCACCCCAGCTCTGCCATCAGTCAATGGGTACCAAACAAAACTTGTTCTAGCTCATTTGTGCTGCCTGACTGATTGCAAGTCCTCGTGGAGGATTTGTTAAAACTATATGAGGGGGCATGTTGAGCTGTGTTTCTCGTTTCTTCCTGTTTAGCTTTATTTTTCTTTGGCATCCATTCTTTAGTATAGCCAACGATGCTCGCGTTGCTCAAGAGATATAGAGCAGTAAATACAGAATATTGTAAATGTTATAATTACTCCTGCATGAGCGCCTTTCCTTGTGTTTTTGTGATGCCAGCCAGTATTCAAAATTGCACTGCTGCAATTTTTCTGTTATGATAATCAGCAATTTTTTTTTTCAAACAAAAGATTTTTTTTATCCAATACGGAATTCGATACAAGTGGTAATCTGCTTCCTTTGTAGCCTGTAAAATCTGGTCCATGCCGGCTCAAACCAGCACAATCTCTTGTGGCCAAGCCTTCTGCTGTGACTGAAATCGAAACTATTCCGTATAGTGTTCGTGTGTGAAAAATGTGTGTGCATTTGCTGCTTTGTGTGTGGTGTCTCTCTGTGTGTGTGTTTGGTGTTGGTGTGTGTCTTCACCAACATTTGTGCGTGTGTTGCATGCAGAGGAAACAGAAAGAAAAAATGTGCAATAGTAGCCTACCACATTATTAAAAAAAACAGCGATAGTGCCAATTCAGTCTCTGTCCGCATACAGATAACGAATAAATGCCGAACTCTATTAAATCGTCCTTTAGCCATTATCGCAGGGCCAACACGCCATTTTCAGAACTTATGACGGTTCCCTGTTTACTTAGCTATAAATCCTTGCCATGTAACCAACAGATTTGTGACTGGTAATGATCTGCTCAGCCAGTGCTATATGAAATGATCCTGACCTCTTTCAGATCGTCAGGAATTAAATTGACCGACTTGCCCCAGCCCCCACCATCTTTTCCCCTCTCTTATCACCGCCGTCTCGTTAGATAAAAAACCCTGAAGTTCCGAGTACTCCACTCACAGCAAGACCACGACAAGTATTATCTCCACAAGTTTTAAAATGAAAATGAGGTAAATACAGCACGTAGGAGAAAAAAGGGAGAACATATATCATCTATTTACTTTGCTTTTGCCCCCTGCATGAACTCTTTCTAAGGTTTTGTGTGTGTGTGTTTAGATTTATGGTATAATTACAATTATTTCACATCGGACATTATTATTGCAAATTAATACTGTGTTTTTCACAATTCAATAATAAATCTTTTTCTCATACAGAAGTTGGGAGAATAAAATAAAATGATATGAAAAAACTCACTTACTATAGCTTAGATTTGTTTGGCCTAAATTCCCAAAGATAAATACATTTTAAGGTAAATATATTTTATACATTTTACCAATAATAATAATTTAATTTTATGCATATTGTTTTACTTTTTTATAATTAAATAATTATGTTCAACTGAGAATTAAGAATGAAGCTGTGGATACTGTTTACAGATGTCACATTCTGCTACCTTTTTCTGACACGTGCATGAATGGGTTAAAGTAGCACAACATTTCACTGTTTTTCATTTAGTAAGTAATCATTTGAAATAAAAACAATATAAATACATTTGGTAATTATTGTCAATAATAACTATTTTTAAACCAATAATTACAACAATAAAACAGCAATTTCCAAAATTTAAAACATCATTCCACAGTGTTAATTCTATACCAATACATTTCCCAACAATTTTCTTTGAGATGTGAAAATTCTATATTTATAAGTATTACTTTTAAATATTTTCAGATACATTTTTAATGAAAGGAAAATAATATTTGAAATGAAATGTGATACATTTTTTAGCTTTTCCTTGACAGGATTTAGATCGAACTCATCAGTGTCGCAAATGTGACATTTCTGACAGCAAATCTCCTTCCAACTTCTGCATAAAATGTCAGAGTCACTTTTGCGTCTCACTAATTTGCCAGGAATATGCATTTCAATTACACATCTTGGCTCGTGATACATATGTTTCTAAGATGTGAAGTTCATGGGTCATCATTGAAATGGTAATAGGGAAATGTTCAAAAAAAAAAAAAAACCCAGACAACTTTATTTAGCTTTGCTTAGCAGTGAATCATCTAAATATACTCACATAAAACACTGTGGGACTAAATGTGCAAATATGCATTTGATTATTCATCTTTGTCTTTTTTTGTTTTTTGAGTGCACATTTGCAAATGCAAAGTATTTATTTGCATGCGAGTGTGTGTGATTGTGTGTGCCTTGAGACACAGCAACCCCTCCAAGTTGACAGCAGATTCTAAAGGCAATATATAATTAGTCAAAAGACGTTTGGTCATAGTTGAGAGTGGCTGCGTATGAGTGGCAGCTGTGCAGGTGAACAATAGGTAAGTGCGTTTTAAATGTTAAACCGCTGCTTGCTGAATCCGTTGATTTATCACTGTTTTGATGCAATTCTACATTTATTCAAAACAAGTTTTAAATAACATGTGACATATTTTGGCCAATTAAGATGACAATTGAAGATTAGTTTTTCTTTTCATTACCACTTTCATAACTGCTGGGAATGAATCTTTTGTTGACATTGCTGACAATGAATGAAAACTGTTAATGCGGTCTTTATCCGTTGTTTATATCCCTCGAAATTCAACAGGCTGAACTGATATTCAAACAAAATGTCAGTCATCGTCTTTTAGTAAACAATAAAACAAAATGTAAATATGTTGATAGATAATACATCAAATCCACAAATAAGTCAAATAGAATTTGAGATTTTTGATTAAAGGCTGATATTAAATAATCAATGAAAATATTTAGGAGCTAAAGGAGCACTGCACCAAAATATTTCAGTCATCAGAATAATATGAGAACCTGTGTTCTTATTCATTTTGTGTATGTATATTATGGAAGTTTGCCACCCTTGGAGTTTAAAGAAAGACCAGAGAACAAGATTTAGCAATTCTCGTGCATGTATGTCTCTATATGTGTGGGGACCGTGTGGAGGATCTATTATTGGTCTAAGTCCACACCCGGCTGGAGAACAGCTATGGGATAGTTGGTACTGGGGAGGCCGGGTTTTTAGATTGAAATTTCGATTGTGTATTTGTGTTTAGGTGTGTGTGTGTGTGTGTCTCTGTCACAATCTGGCTTTGGCCAGACACTGGTCCCATGCCCTGAGCCCACTCACTGGTAGCCCAGCTTTGCATTAAACAGTGTTCCTTCCGCGTGACTTGGTGACAATACCATGGCTTCGGCGCTCGATGGCCCCTGTGAGGGGCCCACCTCCTCACCCTGGGGGCCAGTCAGCCACCCACACTGGTGTCGTTTGGGACCCTGATTAGCACCTCACCTGGCTCTCGGAGGAACTGGCGTCATCTCCCAGGAGCTCGTTGCGCACCTCATCACTGTAGGCAATACGTGACCTTTTCTGCAGGGGGAGGAGGATGAGGAAGAAGGACAAAAAGAAGAAGAGAAATGAGAAAGAGGACAGCAAAGAGAGAAAACAAGTGGGGAAATATGGCTTAGTACTGTTGTTGAAGCGAAAACACAACAGGCATTCCTTAAGCACGAGAGCCCCCTAATGGAACTCGGTGACAAGTCATACACATGCAGGTTGTGTGTATGTGTGTGAGTGTCTCTGCGTGTGTGTGCCCCTACAACACATGTACTGAAAACAAGCCTGTGTGGGTTTGTGCCCATGCCTCCTTCCAAGGTGATCTACTGTACCTAGTGCACTCGTGCCAGAGAAGTGGTGGCAAAGAGCCCCCCCATCTTACCCACTTAAACAAATATAAGTTGAGGGATAAAAAAACCTCATCTTGTGTGATTGGAGAGGCTGTGGAACAGTGGGGACAGGAGAGAGGGCCAGGGAGATGTATTATGAGGAAGTATCACTTGTCAGCGCTAAATCTTTTCTGGGGGCTGTCACTGCTGTCATCCCAGTGCAGTGGCAGGCTCTGTGATAACACCAATGCTGAGACTCAGACAGGGAATAATTCATCACCCATTGGCGGCCCATCGGATTTGGGGTTGCCTCTCTCTCTAACGTACGCACACACACAGACACACACACCCTCTTTCACTCTCTCTCTTTCTGTCTCTAGATAGGCTAGAATAAGAGGGAATGCCATGTCCACAAAAAAAAGACAAACAGACACACATTTCATACACACTTCAGAGTGTGCCACCTCCAATTGTCGAAGAGTGGGCTGCCGTTGTACCGCTTGTTTACAGACGCCCGACCCATGGAAAAACAGCCTCTTGGCATGCCCTCTAAACTAAATACACACCAGCAGCAGACACAGAAAGTGTTTACTAAGCCTCCTTCGCTTTCTCTCCCTGCCTTGACAGGGTTTCTAGGTGGGCTGCTGGAGGTGGGCAAAATCAAAGGCAAACACCAGCATAGGAATGAAAATATCACTTTTTCTCCACAAGAATTCTTTCTTTTTTCTATATTTACTTAGTTCCCGACTAAATAAATAAAACTAAGTAGGAGAATCAGTAAAGGAACACCAATTACCTGGTGGGGATATTTTCTTTTTCTCAAATACAGCTTCCTTTACCAGTATCTTTCCATTAGCTATTAAGCTATTGCACAAGTACTTTGATGCTACCTTCCATATGAAAAGCACAAATCAAACTTAAAAGGCCAATTCTAGCCTCAAGAGTGATAATATCAAGTTGCTTGATTGAAATTAACTTTGGAACCAATCACAACCGGTGGGGGGGGGGGGGGGGGGGGGGGGGGGGGGTCCTCTCCTCATAATCTGGAGCACTGAGTGGAAAGTCATGGCTCATGTGATTTGGTTGTTATTATCGTGATGGTGAGGGCCACAGTTCTCTCTGGAGTAATTACTGACTAGACGGAGAGCCTGATTGACCCGGACCACAAAACCCATTAGATAAAGAGCGCACCCAAACAATACTCGACCACAGGGACCACAGCTAACCACAGAACGCCGACTGTGGGGAAAACAGGCCCCCCTCTCCACCCAACATGTATTACACAAGAGCACTTTGTCCATATCTGCTGTTTAAGATGTTTTTGCAATTGTTTTGTGATTGTGCCATACAACGCTTAGGTCAATTATTAACTTTTAAGATTGTGATAATTGTTGCAATACTCAATTACGTGACAACAAATTCTAAAATATCTAGAAAAATAAGGTAAAACATTAGACACATGTAATCCATGTATGTATCATAGTTTTAAACAAACAAGTCAATATGCTTCCCCAACATTCTTTTGATTAACATCAATACCATACATAGATATGGCAAATATAGGTGACATAATCATACATAATATAATAATCACTGCTTTTCATCCTTTGTTGAAATGTCTGCAGATAATCGTCTTTTATTTTAAATAATTTGTGATCATATTTTGTCCCTCTAAAATGTGATTATCTAAAAATTTCATTAATTTGCTGACTTTTTGTTTTCAATTTAGCTTTTCTTTCTTTCTTTTTTTTTTTTACAGCCCCATCTTCTGTGCAGGGGTGAATAAGTGGTCACTGTATTGTTGTCAGGACATTAAAAGGATTTTCTTATATGAATGAAACCAGAAAGACAATAAGCATCAATTTGAAGACAGCATGTACACAAGGCGCGCACACATACACACACACACACACATTTGTTGCCACAAAAACACCCACATATTCCATTTAAGTCGAGTTTCATCTTAAAGAGCTGCAGTGAAACTTAGGGGGAAAGACGACTTCACCAGTAATTGAGACGAGGAAGCCTGGGAGAAGCATTGATTTGAATGTTAAGACTTACGTCGCCTTCAAACCATATACAGGTTTGGTATTTCTAAATAGCTGTCTGTTACAGATGAATGTATGAAGCGTTTCTGCAATGAGAACAGTGCAGATAACAAAGAAAGTTTTAAGAATGGAAAATGTCAGTGAAATGAAAGTGTTGCCGCTACCTCCCTGTACCTACAGTACACACTCCCGTTTATGGATTCCCCCTCTGGAAAGCATCAGATTCCTGAGTGATTACTGCCTTCCCATTTGATGTAAAACATAAACAGCTGTGCAATATTGACTGCTTAATACAATAACAGATTATAAGTTGGGGTGTTTAAAAATTGCTAAGTGACAACAGGATCACTCTTGAGGTCAAGAAAGCAGATATCAGATCCCTGTTCCATAGTAAAATCTTCTATTCTATAAAGACAATGTACTGAAACTCTCATTCTAGTTACAGTATGTAAAGACTGTGCTCCGCATCTTAAGACGAAGACAACTAATCAGGCTTTGTAATCTAAAAAAGAATGAGCGCTTTCAGAAGATACCTTATTGCTCAGAAAAGAAAAAAAAGAGCTTTTTTAATCCTTTTGAAAGGTCTGTCTTTTGTCACTTTTTTAATCTTGGGTGAGAATTTGCTTCTATTCCCGGAAGCACACAAGAAAAGTACAAAGGTACATCTTAACTTTATGCAAAGTGGCCTGCCTTTAAAACTCTACACATCCCGTCAAATGCAGCGATGAAGGTTCTGATGTCCTGTCAAAAACACACATTTTACCTCTGTTGACATGGATAGCAGACAAAAAAAAAAATTCTTCTTTACCCATCAAAAAGTAATTACATATGCATGCATAACAATTCATATCAGATATGCTAATCAGTTTGGCATAATCCTCAGAGCAGCAAATTATATTTATTTAGTTACAGTGAATATATGGATCTTTCCTTTGTGTGCAATTTCTTTCTAATATATGGGCATACATGGCTATATATGGTCTAAATTAACAATGATTTTTAACTTCCTCCATGGTCCTTAAAGAAGAAAGTAAATCTAAAAACCTTCTGTTTACAGAAAATGTATTAATAATTGTAAAACAATGACCTTTGCTAATTTAAAGCACTCTACAATCGCTGTCAATTTAATGTAAAAGGAAAGCTCCCCATCTACAAAACAATCACGATAATTAAAATCAAATAAACTGAGATTTATGTACACATTTCAATGCCCTCCAACTCTTCTCCTTGCTTTTTGCCCAGTGCAATGAGTGACACAAGGACAAGCACAAATAATTGTGGCGCCTGAAAAGCTGAAAAATGTAAACAGTTCATTAGATGGGAAATAAAAGGCGTAAAAATACCCAGGGGCAGAGTGTAATGAGGGGCCCTGAAGTTCCTCTGCAGACGCTTTTCCCTCCACTTTCCCAAGCTTTTCCTTTTTGCCCTGCACACACGGCTGGTGGCATAGCATGAAGAGTAATTAACGATATTCAATTTATAATACTATGTTCCATTACAGGCTTTTTCAACAGTAGGAGAGCGGCTGGGCATTTCCACATTTAGACCTAATAACACTTATGTCCAGCTCTATGTGCTTGTCTGAAACTGGCATTTAACCTTTTTATTTTCCTCACTTTGAGAGCTGGTCTATGAATGTGAAAACACATCAACACCACCTTTTTAAAAATAAGTTTCAGATGGGCATTAAATCCACACAAATATACAATTAAACATTTAGTTTAATATCCTTGAATATCTTGTAAAAACTGAAAAATACTTAAGTCAGCAATGAAATGACAATAAGGTAGGGTCATAAAATGTCTCTTAGTTCACAAGAATGTGTGCTAAACTCAAAAGGTTATCTATATCACTTCCTTTCCTCCCCCTGCTGTGATATTTTCCCAGGTGATGTGTGGACCAGTGCCAGCAGGTCCCACTCTGGTTCCCCCCACACAAGTGGGGGCAGAGGTGGACTGATGCGGCATGGTGTTAAAAGGAAGCTGAGACCTTTAAGCAGGCACAAGTATCACAACAGCATCTTAAATAATGCATCCCTGCTTGGCGGGGGTTTAACAGACACACACACACACACACACACACACTGCACAAAGGAAAGCGCGCACACACACACACACACACTGCACAAAGGAAAACACACACACACACACACACACGCACTGTTGTCTAACATTTTCTTCTCTCCTTTAACACAAACAAATCAGAAGAGGTTGTTCAATTAAGTAAGTGCTCTTTTTTAATGCATTTGATATATTATCAGACAAAGGCAAGTAGCTACAATTGGGATTGTCACAGGAGGGTGTCATTTGTGCCTTTGTTTCATTGTGGTCTTTGGTGCCATCGAATCCTCCACTTCTGACTGTTGTGTGTGTTTGTTTGAGTGCATACGTGTGCACGAGGGCTACTGTAAGAACAACGGCGGCTTCTACAAGCCTTTGCATCCCGGGGAAACCTCCTTTAGAGAATGTACGTGCGCAACATATGTGAGCCGGGGCCCGGTGTGTGTACTCGCCACTAATAGAAGTGCAACAGTGGTAGAGAAGCCGGAGCCTTAGATAACAGCATGGGGCCTCTCATTAGCTCACAGGTTGGTGCTTTGGTGGCTTCTACGCACACGGCATTGTGTTCCACTCCCATGGAAAAACCTGAAGGAGTC